TCCCCAAGAAGGGAGGGGGGCATAAAGCATGTCTGACCTCCCTCCTCCTGGCAGGCAATTTAGTTTTAGGATATTCCTTTGGCCATGAGGGGGTCCATTCAGTCAGCCGGTAGGGGCTGAGCCTTAAAATTTTATTTTAGTTCACAATATGTAGCAGATTTTTTTTTTCCTAGTGACTGCACCTGAGAATGAATTTGCTGGGTTTTAGATCATTCCCAACTTTGGCTCTATCTTATATTGACATATCACTCTCCAGAGAATGGCAAAAATTCCCACTCTCAAAGTTCCTAAACCACTTTTAGTGTTACCCGGCCATCGTTTCTATATTTGTAAAATGAGGAGGGATGGAACAGACGATCTCTAGGGTCTTTCTGCATTTTCTGCATTCTCCATTCCCTCTCCTGGAATTTCCCATTTTCTTCCTTCTTCATCCTGGAGATAAACTAGGACATGGAATATCAAACCTTTTCTTCTCAATCTATACACCTGTTGTTTGCTATTTTATATTGCGCAGTCTATAAACTTGGAAATCCATTAATATAATTTTGGTAATCATAAGGAAGAATATTACCTAAATTGACAGTGTCCTGGCCGGTCTTACTTCCAATACTGTTAAAACAAATCAATAGTTTTCAAAGCAAGTGACTTTTTAAAGTAAAAATGCAAACTGAATTTGAATATAAATGCTGTTTGCTTCATTTCCCTCCTTTTGCTTATCTGTAATATATATCTTACACATTAGGAAAAAGCTTTTTGTAATGTGATTATTATTATTTCCTTGGCGAATTTTCTGAAATTAAGAAATATTTAAATGCTTCAATTTGCCTTGTTACTTTAGCCACTAAATTTACATTTCAAATTTTATTTCATCGGGTTTTTTTTTTCTCCACACTGGCATATATTTTGGTATACTAAAGCCTTCTGGAAATATCCATGTCAGAAAAAAAAAATTGCTCTTTGTTTTCAAAAAGCACTGATTTTACTGCTTGTAATTTCTATAGAGAAAAATATCAATAGCCTCAGGCTTCGAAGGGTATAATTGTTGGCCAACATTGCCACCTAGTGGTAAGAAGATTAATCACATCATATTTTAAGTTGGGAAAGTTGGTATTTTTCAAACGTATGCAAAATTTTGAAGCCATATTTTCCTATGAGAACATTACATTAGAAGAGAGTTGGGGAAGGGTAGGGTAAACACTCATGAGACATATTGGCAAGATTAGAAGATTCGGTGTATGTTCCCTGGCTGAACTGCCATCCCAGAGTCCCAGAATTTGCTCCCTCATCTCCTCTCAGCTGCAGGTATTACGGATCTTCACCTTGAGCCCCCTCACCCCACAAAGCCTGTTCTAGTTCTAATATGTTTGGAGTCTAGAATCAGCTGGGAATATGGCCGGTCTCTGGGTTGTTAAAATGTGGGCTCCTGCTTTGGCATCCACATGTAGCCAAGTCCGGAGTCTCCCCAGAGCCCCATGTTTCCTGTCTTTTTAAGAACAATTCCCAGGTGTCCAAACTAGAACCCTTTCCACCAGCTTAGCCACTCAGAGCCCTCTACCTGGGGGAGTCTCTAGAAAGGAATTTGCTAAACCCGCCTTACCCCAAGCCTTTCAACCGAGAAGGCGCCACTTGTTCAACCTAAGCATTGGCAAGACTCGTAAAGCTCTGGGTCACAGGTCACCATGTCACAACCAGAACCCTTGGCTATGTCTCTCGCCCATACGTAATTGACGACTCCATGAACAAGCACAAAATCACACACACACACACACACACACACACACACACACACACCACACACTTTCCTTATATAGCTTTTCTATGCTTTGGATTCCTGGGCCAGTAGGGCTCAATGACCAGTGCATTATAATCATTCTGTTTAGCTAACCCTTTTACCTTTTTTCTTTTTCTTTTTTCTTTTTTTTATTTCTGCTACGACAATACCACATCCCTTTTACCTTTTGAGTCGTCTCCCAGAAACCACAGACTCTTTGCAAGATAACAACGCCAAGAATCACCGTCCATCACTGACCTGTGACGTCTGAATTAGGTTTCCTGCACATGTTGCTTTCAACACAACCCCCCCAGTGCACCCAGCCACCTTCCCAAACCCCCTTGTAAAAGACCCCTGCCCTCAGTGGGCGCAGAGACAGATTTCAGCAGTTCCCCGCTCTCCAGTGAGCTCATCTGTAAGCAAATACTGTGTTTCCCCTGAAAATAGCCCTCACCCACATTACAATAACCCCAGCCAGGATGTCTTAAGCATGTGCACCCAATAGAAGCCCTACCCCGAAAATCAGCCCTAGTGATGGCGTGGGGCTATGAAAAATCAGCCAGTGACTGGCGTGGCTATGAAAGTCAGCCCTACGTGATGGGGCGTGGCTATGAAAATCAGCCCTAGTGTGGGGTGGCTATGAAAATAATCAGCCCTGGTGGTGGCTGGCTATGAAAATCGCCCCAGTGAGTGGGGGCGTATGAACAATCAAGCCCTAGTGACTTGGCGTTGTCCTATGAATCAGCCCAGGTATGGCGTGGCTATGAAGAATCCAGGCGACTAGTGATGGGCGTGGGCTATGGAAAATCAGCCTAGTAGATGGGCGTGGCTATGAAACAGCACAGTGAGACGGCGCTGGCTGCGCAGCGCATCTGCACAACCCGTGCGTGTCGTCCGCCGAGCGGGAAAGGACACGAGCAGCCCTTCTCATCTGCCCCGTGAGAGCTCTAGTGCTCCACAGGAGAGATCGGGCCAGTGGTTCTAAAGGAAATAGAGTGCGCAAGACATTCAGGATGGGATTCGGGGTTTGGAGAGTGAGGATGATGTTCCAGAAGAAGACGACTTCACTCTATTTGAATCAATGGAGATTGTTGTACCGTCCTTAAAAAAAATAACACATCCCCTGAAAATAAGCCGTAGGGTGTCTTCCTGAGGAAAAATAAATATAAGACCGTCTTATTTTTGGAGAAACACAGTATCTTTCTTCCTTGGCAAACCCCATTGTCTCGGTAATTGGATTTCTGTGCAGCAAGATATCGGACCTAGACCAGAACCCTCTTGTAGGTCCAGTAACATGGATTAAGACTCAAAGTCGCTCACCCCCGCCCAGGTGCTGTAATTTATGGTGCTTGGGAGCCAGTTCTGAGACGGGTGTGTAACCCTCACTGGTTCTTATCTCACCATGTCTGCCTGATGTGAGTAGCCAGCAAGCCTCTTTTCAATGTCTTCGATGTTTTGATAACAGGCAAGAAAAAGACCAAAATGCAGAGGAAAGAGAAGGAATAATAACACTAAAGAAGAAAAAGGTCCCATATGATGGCTCACACCTGTAATCCCAGTATTTGGGAGGCTGAGGCGGGAGGATTGCTTGAGGCTAGGAGTTCAAGACCAGACGGAGCAACATAGTGAGACCCCCATCTCTACAAAAAATACAGAAATTAGCTGGATGGACTGGCATGTGCCAGTAGTCTCAGCCATTTGGGAGGCTGAGGCAGGAGGATCACTTGAGGCCAGGAGGGCAAGGCTATATAGTGAGCTATGATCATGCCACTGCACTCTAGCCTGGGGGACGGAGTGAGATTCTGTCATGAAAAAAAAAAGAAGAAGAAGGAGGAGGAGGAGGAGGAAGAGGAGGAGGAAGAAAGAAGAAAGAAGGAGAAGAAGAAGGAGGAGGAGAAAGAAGAAAGAAGGAGGAGGAGGAGAAAGAAGGAAAAGAAGAGGAGGAAGAAAGAAGAGGAGTAGGAAGAAGAAAGAAAGAAGGAAGAAGAAGAAGGAAGAGGAGGAAGAAGAAGAAGAAGAAGAAATTTGTCTCAGAAACTATGTTACATATTACATACAACTACTCACCCACTCAGAAACTAGACATTTCTACAGAGAAGAAATACTTGCTGGCTGATATTGAAGGGATAGACAAAATAAAGAAGGGAAACAGGATTGCAGAGACGTAATGTATAGTCCAATGGCTATTCTGTTGGTAGAGTAGAATAAATTATACCATTGGCATACACTGATCAAGGTTCGTGTAAACATCTGAAACGTCAAATTAACAAGAAGCCATATTCAGTCGTGTCATCATAGGCAGGGATAGAAATCTTGTGTCAGCTCTAGTGATCTGTGCTAAGAAGGATTTTTTTGAGCCATGTCTGGACACAGCAGTAGCGTGTTGTGTGATTGATTAGCGTGTTTTCCTCAGCCACTCCTTTTGTCAGATAGTTCCCTTTTCTTTTCTAGAACCATCTTCCCGCTAACTCCCTTCTGGTTCTCTTAGATACATGCCTCTCAAGCTTCGATGTGGATCTCTAGCATTTAGGGGTCTTGCTAAAAACACAGATTCTGTTGCAGTGGGTCTGGGGTAGAAACTGGGGTTCTGCATTTCTGAGAAGCTCCCAAGTGATGTCCGTGCTGGTCCACAGAACTTTCGAGACTCCTTTTCTAACATTGTGGCGATTTCTCTTGTTCATCACCCAGCAATAGTATTACTTTTATTCCTTTTCCTTACTGCTGGCCGGGCAGAGGAGTAAGATAGTAGCCACTACTGTCAGGCCTTAGTAATCAGAGAAATTTTTTAATTGAGTATACAAGATTTCTATAACATTTTATAATTTCCAATGCTGTGTATTTTAATATTTATGTGTATGTATATATTCATATAGTAAAGTTTGATTTATCCTGCTTTTATCAGTAGGGTGTTCCTCTCAACCCCCCTTCCTGAATCCTAGACTACAAAAATGATTAATGTCCTTAAAACGGCCCTGAAGCTCGACAAGATCCTAAACTCTCTAAATTATCAAATAAATCACATTCACTGTAGTTTCATCATTAACTTAACTTTATTGCATTCTAACTTTTTTAAATGGTGTGCCCGGCATGATGTAGATGATAATTCTCAGTTGCTCTGAATACTTTTCACTCCTCAGCAATGCAAGTATCCCGAAAGTGAGGATACTTGTTCACTTTTATAAAGATTATTACACAAAAGGAGTATATGTGAAAAATTCAGAAGATACAGATACCGACACGTTAATCAGTTTATATCCTTGCATGTTATCCATCGTGAAAAATCCCAAGATACAACCATTCTTCGATCACAGTGCCTCGCAAAGAGCGGACGGGCCTTGTGCCCTGCGCCAAAGCACGTCTTCCTTATGGAAAAATTTCCCGGCTGAGTCTTCCTCCTCTTCTTCCAAACGACAGTTTAGTCACATAATCTAAAGGATCCTGAGGCATGTCCTTGTTAACGACCAGCTTTTCAGTCCTGTGTGGTAGAGTCTATGGGCCCACTTTCTCCTTCAATGGCTGAGAACTCTGTGTCGATGAGTGGTTTCAGAAATTTCTCGACCTTGGTTAATCTTTGTTTCAGCTTCCCCTGCATGGACTCGTACTCAGCCAGGATCCGGGCAAACCTCGTCTGCAGGAGGTCTACCGACCCCTCCATGCGAGTGACCTTCTCTTCGAGGTCTTTGGGGTCACTACCAGCATTAGCGATGCTTATGTCCAGTAGCCCATCTTTCATCAAGATCTGCTTCCCTTTCTCTTCCAACATCGCTTTGGCGTCGGGGTACTCCGTGAGAGCCTCCATGAGGTCATCTTTGGAGAGGCAGAACAGGTCTGAGTAGCCAATACTTTTAATATTGGCCGTCCTCCGATTGCCGGCTTTGCTGCCCTTTATGTTGAGAATGCTGATCTCGCCGAAGTAGCTGCCGTCACTCAGCACCACGAACTGCGTGATCCCATCGTCGGCCACCACGGCCAGCTTGCCCTCCTTGATGATGTACATCTCTCGTCCGATGTCCCCTTTCTTGCAGATGTAATCTCCGGGACTGTAGACCTGGGGCTGTAGTTTCAAGACTAACTCAACCAACAGGCCAGCCTCACAGTCAGCAAAAATGCGCACCTTTTTTAGGGTGTCCAAGTGAACGTTGATGGCAATTTCCGCCCTCAGTTTATCAGGTAGATACTTCAACACTTCCCTCTCGTCGACCGTCTTTTTGTTGGTCCAGAGGTAGTCAAACCACTTAATGACCCTCTTTTCCATGTCTTTGCTTACGTTTCGAAAATGCATGTACTGCTTGATGGCATCGATTCTTGCTTGAAATTCTGCTCTGGCTGCGTTCATGTTGGAAATCATGGAACCTATGTTACCAACGATGGTAGCGAAAATCAACACTCCGATTAAGAAATCAACCACCACGAAGACATATTCAGAGTCCCTGACGGGAGGTGGTGTTTCACCGATGGTAGTCAACGTCAGCGTGGACCAGTAAAGACTGTACACATATTTTCTAGCCAAACGGCCAAAATCAGGATCGTTGACATCAGGGTAGACCCAAGTATCGTTTCCAAATCCAATAGCTTTCGAAATAGAGTAATACACACATGCATTCCAGTGGATAATGATGACGATATACATAACAAGGTTAGAAATCCTGAAGATGTTTGGATAATTTGTCCTTGTTTCTGTTCTCTGGAAGAACTCAAACATACGAGAGATCCTTAACAGCCTGTTTAATCTAATTTCTGGATAGTTCCACCCCAACTTAACATATAGCAGATCAGTTGGTACCACTGATAGAACATCGAGTTTAAATTGCAAGGTTGATTTATATTTCTGTATGAGCTTAAGTTCTTCCTTCACCAGCAGTCCTTGTTCTAGGTAACCTAAAATAGAAAAAAAAAAAAAAATCAAGTGAATATTTATTTTTAGGCCATTGTGAATTTTTTTTTAAAAGTAACTCTCAACTTTGTTGAGTTCAAAACAAGAATTCGTTTTCAATACATATGCCTTTAACGATGTAATAAGGTATGAACACCAGTCAACATATATATGGCTGTGGAATATATTCTGTTGCAGAAATAAAAAGCAAAATTAAGTGCAAAAGTGAGATATTTGTATAGCTCTGTACATATACAATATACAAATCTCTCTAGATCTGGCATCCCCATACAAGTAAAGCCATTCCTTTTGGGAATAGTGTTACGATATCGTCATATATGGTCTCTGTCCCTATTTTCTGGCCCAGATCTCCTAAAACCCTTGTGATTTCCTGAGCAATAGGGGTTCTAGGTGCATCTTTCGTCTGATATCTGGTCTTTGAGCCTGGTTCCTGACACAGAGTTCCTAATCCCTTAGAATTTCCCAGGCGATAGAAGTTGTCTTTTGTTCTAATGAGGCAACTCTTGGTGAGCTCCAAGATTCAGGCTGGTCCCCAGAAAGACTAAGCCATGTCTAGAAGCTTGGAACTTTCAGCCCTAGCTGCCATAATCCAGGAAGAAAAGAGGGGCTGAATACTGAGTTCGTCATTGATCAGATCTACTTGAGGAAGGCTACATAAAAATCCATGAACCATGGGGTTCAACGTGCTTCCAGGTTGGCAAATCCATCCACATGCCAAGGAGGAGGAAGTTGTCACACCCCAATGCCATGGGGACAGAAGCTCCTGCTCCCATGACCCATCCCGATTCACCCTGTGTATGTCCTGAGCTGGCTCTTCATTTGTATCCTTTACCACACCCTTTATTAATATAATAAACCAGTGAAACATAAGTGTTTCCCTGAGTTCTGTGAGCCATGCTAGCAAATGATTGAAGCTGAGAAGGGGGAACCCCAATTTATAGCCGGAGTCTCAACCAGGGGCTCATGATTGGCATCTGAAGTGGGAGACTGTCTTGTGAGACTGAGCTCTTAACCTGTAGGACCTCTCCTAATTCAGTTAGTGACAGTGACAGTTAAATTGTAACCCAGCAGGTGTTCACAGAATTGTTCGGTATGCAGTAGAAACCCCGCATGCATTTTGGTGACCAGCGTTGTGTCATGTTGAGAGTATGGGAAGAGAAAATATTTGTTTTTGTTCCATACACCGTTCTTAGAAAGTTTCCTAAACACCTTAGCACCATGCCACAGTCTTGCCAGGATCCCTGCCCCACACTGAAAGCTTAGGTACCTGCCCTGCTATCTGATTATTTTGCATGCTCTTGCCTTGCCCATTCAATGTGAAGCATTGAGTGCCCTTTGTGGCTATATTGTCATCTCTCATTCTGGCCTTCCCCAGGCGTCCTTAGGCACCTGGGATCTTCCCTTCTTTGCTGTTACCACGAGCCTTGTGTTGTTAAACCCATTCGGGAAAGAATTTGCTGCTTCTCCTATCCTGGAGGCCCAGGTTGCAGATGGGACGAAGCAACTAGAGCATTGCTCCAGGGCACTGATATTTACAGAACGTTCCAATTTTACACGATGATTCTTTAAAAGCTATGTGTACACTGGTTACACTTGCATGTGGAGAGCAGTGTGGAGGCAATGAGTTTCTACCTACTTAACAAGAATACTTCAGGTAGGGAGTTTTCCAACACTGCACCCTGGTCAACAATGTCCCACCATGAACCGCTAAGTTGAGTTAAGTTGTGTTTTTCCCGCTTCTTATACTATTTCTAGTATAGCTCTGCTGGGTGCAATGACATTTTCCCCCATGCCTCTTTAAGTTATCTCCTTGTTAGGTAGCAATTACCCTTTCCCCACTGTGCTGGCAGAATATTCCGGCTCTCTCTTTTCCTCTGGCCTGGCATAAAACCAATGAACAGGACAACAAAGGAAAGCCACCAATCCACATTCGGAAGGTCGCCTGGTAACATCCTTTGAATCAGCGGAAGTGGCCTAAGTGGTACAAGGAGTGGTACACCGCTACCCCTACTTTCATCTGTGCCTTTTTCTCTAAAACAGATCTTTGTGAGTTTACTCTGACGAACACTTGAATTAAGACATTTCAAGTTATAAGGATACAGATACAAGCACGCCATTTGAAAATATCTCAACCTGAACATAGTTACCTGTCCTTGTTCGTACGAACATATCAAGAAGGTAGACTACATCTGATAAGTAATCGAAAACGAGCCAATATTCTAGGTAATCGGATTGAAGTTCATCAAAACATGCTCTGTAAAAGAAAAACTTGTATAAATAAAATGAAATGGGGGAGGGGAGATTTAAGTCAAAATCCTCTTTGTATATTTTTTTAAATTTATTTATTTATTTATTTTCTTTTCTTTAAATTTCAGAATACCCAAAACAACAAATGTATATACTTTTTTTTTTTTTTAATCATGAGAAGTGCAGCATGCCAAGGCTAGGAGGGGCCCTTAGAGTTCATCTAATCAACCGTGGCTTTCCCGAAAATGTCCCTCAGTGGTTGGATTTTGTTCCTCACACTTCTGAATTCCAATATTCTCATTGTTGTGCTAGTCAGCTTTGCAAAAGCATCAAGTAAGCGCTCTGGGAGGCCGAGGGGAGGACTGTTTGAGCTCAGGAGTTGGAGACCAGCCTGAGCAAGAGCCAGACCCCGTCTCTACTAAAAATAGAAAGAAATGAATTGGCCAACTAAAAATATATAGAAAAAATTAGCCGGGCATGGTGGCACATGCCTGTAGTCCCAGCTACTTGGGAGGCTGAGAGGCAGGAGCGATCGCTGCGAGCCCCAGCGAGTTCTGGGAGGTTGCTGTGAGCGACGGGCTGACAGCATGGCACTCCGTAGTCTGGGTGACAGAGTGAGATTTTCTTCCTCAAAGCGAACACACACCGAGCGTTCGAGTAAGTGAGTTAAAGGTACCAAACATACAGTAAGCAATAAAGAGGAAATGCATTTCTGACCTTTTTCGGAAGCAGAGAAGCTCATTATGTCTTATATACATGTAAAAAAAAATTTCACATATACCCATACATTTTTACAAATAAAAAAAAATTTTAATAAATACCTAAAGAATTAATGTCACGTAAGCTAAAGTAACAATTCTGTCTGAGTGAAACACATTGATCCCGGCCATATTGACCTATTTACTACCCCACTCTCAGGAAATCGTGCCTCGGTTTTAAGCTGGCTGCAGATACTTACCATCTAGAACGACACTGGCTGCTTCGTTTCTTTTCAACTTCATCGGCATACTTTTTCTGTGGGCCAAACGAACAATGTAGTTTCCTCCCCAATGTTCCAATTGACAATAATTGAGCAACAGCCACCTTTTAAAGTACCCTCTTACCGCCGACCCATCCCCAGCGACTGGAGATCCAAGTATATTGAGGACCGAAAGGCATCCTCCTCGATCTCAGCGAAAACACACAGAGAGGCGGCGCCGGTGGTCACGCCTGTAATCTTTAGCCCTCTGGAGCGCCGACGGCGGCGAGATCACTCGAGTCAGGAGTCGAACCCAGCCCTCCGCAGCAAGACAGCGAGACCCCGTCTCTACTCCATAATACGAAAGAAAATTATTGGACTAATATACTATGATAGATATAATATATAAGACAAAATTTAGCCAGGCAATTGTGCGTGCCTTGCCTGTTAGTCCCCACGCTTACCGGGAGGACTGAGCAGGCAGGATCACTGGAAGCCCAGGAGTTTGAGTTGTTGAGCTAGGCTGATGCCACGCACTCACTCTAGACTGGGCAACAACACAGTGAGACTCTGTCCTAAAAAAAAAAAAAGAAAACACACTGAGAATAATTTAGCCCCCTCTCTTTACAACCTGTGGTAGAGAACGGAGGTATGTCCTGAATATCTCTGGGTCAAATTGTTTAGTCAGTTAACTTGGAAACTAGAAGTGGGCTGAGATCCACAAAAAAATATATAGACACCTTGCAATAATCATAGTCCAGTTGTACATAACAGGTAAGGTGATGCAAAACAGCCAGTTGTAATACGTATTTCCCGAGGGATCGATAACCACGACTTCTCTCTTCTCCCTAGCAGCAATTAGAAATAAAAGGGGAGGTTACCAAGAGACAAGAACAGTTTTATTGGCCATATCAGATATTATGCCCATCATCCACAATTAGTGAAACAGAAGTGAGCTAGGGAAGCTTGCCTTGCAGTGGAAAGATTAGCTTAAGTGCATTAGCCATAAGGGACTGGTTAGTGAGGGGTGGTTAGGTAGCAAAATCAGTAGCCTTATATTAAACCACGTTAGGCTTTTATTAAAGCCACGGTTTTATTGCCATACTGCAGTCAATTCTATACCCCGGCCATTGAAAGGGAATAGTGGCATAGATCATAGAAATCAATGGATATTCCACAGGCTCCTTTGGTAGTTCATGATTGGTAGGAAAATGGTGACTTTGCTACCTCTCAATCAGGTAAGGAAGTAACTAGCAACTACACTGTGAGGGGCAGGGGGAGCCCATGGCTTTGCTGTCATCTGTGGGGATAGAAGAATAATGTGATTAATACAATCTCACACAAAGCACCTGTTCATAAACAAGTACAAAGGCTTCTTTAAGAGAAGCCAAGCAAGAGGAAAGGAGGAAGAAAATATATGGTCAATCGAAAGTGGTTTCTTTTATGTCCTGGTGATTAAGACTATATTTATAAAGACTTTTGTCCTTATACAAATTCAACAACTTTCTAAAGAGGCACAAATAATGGGACCATTGTCTGGTAAACAGTTTTCTTTAAGTAAGTTAACAAAACAATTGCCCTTTAATAAAAAGTAAAAAGAGCTTTGCAGATATCACTTGGCCTAAGGCTGGCGAAAGTCTAGCTCTCGTGTTTATTTTAAAAAGAATACTTCAAGAGACTGGAGTTTTGATAGTATTTGTACTACTCTAGGACTTAGGCATGGCTTTTGCAATGACAGTTCTTTACTTTGGAGTATTTGCCATATAATATTTATAATTCAAATATGTTAAGAAAAAATTAAATTTTTATTTCAGTTTTTAAAAATTAATGGTAAAATCCTAGGAACCCAATACTCCTTGAAACCTAAATATTTCCCAGTGATAAATTTATCTTAACCGAAGCTTGGGGAAGAGAATTAACCATAGCAGTGAAAATTTTTGATGAGAAAATTAAGAATAATGCTAACTTTAGGGAAATTAGAAAAAGTTTTTATTTATATTTGATATTTTACATTAAATGTTTATTTGTAAATATTTAAAGACAGTCTTTACATAAAGCCTCTTTACCATAAAGTTTCTTCCTACTTTATATCATAGAAAATTACCCTATGTCTAAATCCCAACACAAATTCATTTCTAATTTCAATGCCAGTAAAAGTACTTACTCTTCTTTCTTGTCTTTGCTTTTCTCTTCTTTCTTTTTCTCTTCTTTTTTTTCCTTCTCTTTTTTCTTTTCCTTCTTCTTTTTCTTCTCTGGGTCCTTTTTATTTTCATCATCTGACTTGCTAAAAAAGTTGAGTAGGTAGTATTAAAATACAAAAATGTTCTGGGCAGAAAGATGTAGGGTCATTCAGCCAAAGTCTAACTTACCTCTTCTTTTCTTTTTTCTTTTTCTTTTTTTCTTTTGGTTCTCTAAAGAAGAAACAATATCTCTGTCACATAATCACATTACACTCTGATTTCCATTCTTATTTACTTCTTCATTGAGCAAGAATTCTCAGCCTTGCATTCAAAGACCTGACCCAGTGCTCAGAAATTAGAAATCTGGTCTCCTAATGGAAATTTCTATTAAAAAAGAGCAATTACCTATATAATAAAGCAAACAAAAATTTCTGGGTTAATGGATGTACAAAACTGAAGAAAATGGAGATGAATAAAGGCATAAACCAAAAGAGAGAAATTTAAGAAACAACAGCCCCCAAAAGAGTACAAAGCCTTGATGTATTAAAAAAACTAGTTATTTAAAATTTAAGATTCTTGATATCATTATATTTATCCTTGAATAAAAGCATTGAGAATTTAAAGAAAATGTCATCAATTTTCTTTAGAAGGGTAATCCTGACTGGAACGATTTTTCACAAGTAGTCAAAAAAAAGCTTTGTGTTAATTAATACAGTTATTATCCCAGTTATTAAAATCATTCACTGGATTTGAGACTTCCTTTTTCTATATACAATTTCTCGAGTGGAGATTATGTGACTAGAGGTCTTTTTCTATAGTTAGTTTTCTCTATGAGCAAAAGAATGGATTCTGGAGTCAGATAGACCTAGGGTCATAGCAGGCTGCCATTGCCAGCTCAGGTGTCTTATGAAAATGTATTATTCATGTATGAATGAATGGGGATCTCACTACCACTAAAATAGTCAGAGAAGGCTGTTGAAGGGAGGTAGATCTAAACCTAGACCCTGGAAGTATGGATAAGAGTTGGAGAAGTTGAAAAAAAAAAGAGGGAGGATGTTAAAGCGGGAAAAATTTCTAAGTGCAAATGGAATTAATCTGGGTGAGAATGACCCAGAAGAAATGGAAAGCTGTAGTGGAGGAAAAGCAGGAGATAAGACTCACAACTGTGGTGGGGCTTAGTATCTAAGGTGGTCACGTACAAACGAGGACAGAACATAAAGTTGGATGGGGGGAGTTTACTGCTATAACAGCACACTTCTGGGATTCGGGATTTAACAGCCCAACACGGGTCCTGGGAGATGATGTTGACACACTGCTCAGATGGCTCTTGGAAGCCCAGGAAAGGTGATCCCCACACTAAGTGAAACAGAGATTGCAAAATGGCAGAAAATGGAGGGAAAGTATCAAAAGATTCAGAGAAGCGGCATGCTGAAGTGCATAAACTGTGCTAAGAAGATGGTGCATCTGCTGAATGTGTTCCCTAAGAGGGCTCAGAGGATAACAAGTGATGCAGGATGTGGCCAGGCGCGTGCTCACGCTGTAATCCTAGCACTCTCCGAGTCAGGAGTTCGGACAGCCTGAGGCAAACAGCGAGACCGCTCTACTAACTATAAGAAAGAAATTAATTGGCCCAACTATTATATATAGAAAAATTAGCCGGCATGGTGGCGATGCCTGTATCCCAGCTACTTGGGAGGCTGAGGGAGGAGGATCGCTTGAGCCTAGGAGTTGGAGGTTGCTGTGAACTAGGCTGACGCCACGGCACTCACTCTAGCCCAGGCAACAGAGTGAGACTCTATCTCAAAAAAAAAAAAAAAGGACCAAGTAGAGGACATCAAGCTGCCTCCCATCCTTTAGCCAAAAGTGATATTGCATCCTAGAAAGGAAAGTACGTGCAATGCTTAAAGACCTAATGCACGCAGGATTGCGGTCCCTCTTCATGTCCCCGTTCGACTTACCATTTGGCCCCTGCAAAAACCAAATGAATCCTGGTGGTTGGCAGTAGACTAGTGAAAAATCAACCAAGTAATAACCCCATTGCAGCTGCTCTGCCATGTGTGGAAAATAGTGCACTCACCTCATCTAGAAACCATATACCTCAGGTTGTAGGTCAGTCATGTGAATGTTATTTTTCATCACTGTCTGGGAACAGGGTCAGAAATAGCTTATAGTCCCATGGGATGGGAATCCTAACAGCCTTTTCCATGGCGATGGTAACTCTCCTTCCTGCTCTCATGGCAGGGTCTGGGGGGACCTGGACCATCTGGCCATTTCTGAGAACATCCCATTAGTCCACTATGTCAATACCTATATAGTCTATATCTATATAGTCCACTATGTCTATGTCAATGATATCGTGTTAATCAGCCCCTGAGATAGGGTAATCTAACCACAGGACATAAGACGACTACCCATAATGAAGGATTCTGTCACAAACACCATGTCACTCATTCCCCACATGCCAAGAGTGGTGGTTGCTGAGATCTCCCAGTTTTCCTTCTTACTTGGGCTGACTTTGGCTGCAGGAAACCACCATGTTCAAGGTTATGCCTCCTCTTCCTAAGGCCATCTCTTATCCAATGACTGTGCATGGGTCTGAGGAGCCAGGCCTATCACCTAAATAGGCAACAACTCTGAAAGGCCATCCCTGTTCCAAAGCTCTCCGTGGAATCACAGTGTATATGAGCTCCATTCTCTGAGGTTCTACTTCTCTCTCTGCCCATACCTGCCCCCGAGCCCCCCCGAGCTCCCTTCCAGATATTATTCCAGAGAGCACCCACAATAAAAACTCCGCACACAATCCTCCATCTCAGACATGGTCTCCTGAGGAACTTAACCTAAGACACACTGGCTTAGACTGGAAACAATTAATAATGTTTCGTTGATTTTTTTCAGCCATTCTACCCCCAAGGAAAGGCAATTAATTGCATGTACACTACAGACGTGGTTTTTTTAGCATGTATTCAAATAAATGAACATCAAAATAAATGCTACTTTTAATATAGGTAGCTGCATTTTCAGATATAAATAATCCAACAACAAAATAATAGAATATCATTGCCATTGTATTAAATAGTTTGCCCAATAAATATTTGCTCTAGAACAGATTGAGATATAGTCCTACCTTTTCACTGGTTTTCTTTACAAACAAAGCTTTGGTTTTCTACTGTAAATGTACTTACTGGTCCTTATTGCTGCTGTTGTTGACGTTGAAAAGTGCAATGGCCCCAGGCAGGTACTGCTCCCTGAGAAATGAAAAACGTACAGTGAAATCATAATTGTCACCATCTGTGTCATGTCCATGGTAAAGCAACAAGTCCTAAAGAACAAATTCTTCTCAGTTTCAACTCATGACTAAAGATTGCCTAGACCATTGTTTTTAAAATATAGAGTCTCCATGAGGCATGACTGGCCAAATACCAGTGCCTTGAACCAAAGCGGTTTAGTAAATGCCTACTGGTCAATTTCGTAACAAGAATTACCTTGGGTCAACTAACCTGGATACCAGTAATTTCCAACAGGAGACCTCGTACTGTCAGGGCAGATAGAAAGAGGAGAAAAGATAACTAAAAATAACAGTGGGAAAGTTGGAGATAGTGGAAGGAAAAATAAAAAAGGAGGGGAAAAAAAAGCAAAAAAAAAAAAAAAGTAATTATGGCCCACAGGATGGGACCTTCTGATCCACACCCTTTCCACACCCTCAGAATCCTGTGTTTTAAGTTTCCATGACCACTTCATTTCCTACTGAGGATTTTTAGCCACTCACTCCATGCTCTATTTTCTACAAGGAGGATCAAAAACGGGACAGAGCATTTTCGAGGACAACCAACCCTCTCACATATAATTGCTTCCGGGCCTTGCAAGAAGGAATTGGCGAGGAGCAGGAAATCAGAGTGGACTGGGGCATGAAGTTTCCTTAGGCACAGGTGCGGGTCTCGGGGAAAATGAAGCCAGAGAGTCTCTGACTTGGAACTTGGAGCCCCACGGCCACGAATAAGCATCGGGCAGTGGCAGTCCCCCAAGAGAGGGCAAGGCTGAGGACAGAAGTCATTACTCCTGAGAAGCTGCACGGTGTCTGGATAGCAGGGGCATCTGCCAGGCCCACTCTGTGGAAGGAACAGAAGAACTTTCATCTAAGTAACGGCTTAAAAACAGACGCCGAGGGGCGGATCCTACGGCTCACCTCTGCGGTGGTTCTCCCCTTCTGTGTGAGTTATTTCGAAAGGAACCCCTTGCACGGGGGTTTTCGTTCTCGGAATCTTCAGATGCAGAGGCACTGTCGTCATCGTCAGAAAAGGAGCTACAGTGCGATAGGAGGCAGAGACGAGTTAAGCAGGCGTCCTTAAATTATGACCCACGGGCCACATGTGGGCCACCTAGCACGTTTATCCGGGCCCTCTGGGTGTTTTTGCCACCACTGCCTGTCCTGCTTAACAGCCGACTCGTCCCGAGCCTACAGTGCGCACTCTCCAACGGTCTGAGGGACAGTGAACTGGCCCCCTGTTTAAAAAGTTTGGGGACCCCTGATAGAGTAATGGTTTTGGCCATTATGGAGGGGGAGCATTTCTCACTGGGGGACCATCGCCTCTTATCTTTGCCTTCCTTCTCAAATTAACACACACAACAATTTTTAATTAGAGTGAAGTGAGAACTCCACAGAAGACATAGAATGTTCTAGAATGTATGCACAGTTCAGTAAAATGCGTTTAATTAAGAAACTACTTTCTAGGTTTTCCACATTCCTGTTGTTTGGTGCATTGGTTGATGTTAATATTTATCAAAGAGAAAGTGTGATATCTGGGACTTAGATCATATTATATTGTTTTATGGAACTAACTTTTTTTCTTTTTTCTTTTTCTTTTTTTTTTTTTTTTGAGACAGAGTCTCACTTTGTTGCCCAGGCTAGAGTGAGTGCCATGGCGTCAGCCTCGCTCACAGCAACTCCAACTCCTGGGCTCAAGCAATCCTCTTGCCTCGGCCTCCCAAGTAGTTGGGACTACAGGCATGCACCTCATGCCCGGTCATGTTTTCTATATATTATTGGCCAATTAATTTCTTTCTATTTATAGTAGAGATGGGGTCTCGCTCTGCTCAGGCTGGTTTCGAACTCCTGACCTTGAGGAATCCTCCCACCTCGGCCTCCCAGAGTGCTAGGATGACAGGCGTGAGCCACCGCACCTGGCCCAGAACTAACTTTTTTTCTGACTAATGTTTTCTCCCAATAAAAATAACTTTAAGCACATTTACACACATTATATTCACTTATCAGGTAACCACGTTAAATTATACTTTTATAATACATCATGTTGTCAGCATATCACACTCTGTACTTTTCCATATTTATCTTTGGCGATGCCATCCTTTAGATTTGAAATGTCTCAAGAGGAAAAAGGCCCTGCCAGGGACTAAATAAATATTTGGCATGGGTGCTTCATAAGTGCTTCCAAACAAGTGAGCACAATAATATCTACGTTCATTTGTTAGACAAGTTGTGATATTCCAAAGTGCAAATGAATTTACTGAGTTAAATACATTACAAAGTTCAAGGTTACAAATTATGAAGTTTAATTGATATTAAACCTAGCTAGATTAAAGAATTGGGGCTGGAATTTAAAATGCCTGGGGAAATGTATGGATTTACCTGCATGCTCCGTTTTCCATCCTTCTTATTTCTTTTTCAATATCTGGTGCAATCACATTGGGCCTATTTACAAAGGAGCGCTGTGTGTTGATAATATTTTTCTTCATGATTAGTTTCATATCTGAGGAGAAAGAAGTCTTAGTAGTGGGAAGACTATTTTTATATATTTACATATATAATCAAAAGTTTCACTCTATCATTGTTCTAACGCTAATAAACACTTATTTCTAGCGTACATAGCCATTATTATTATTTTTTTTTTTTTGAGACAGATTCGCTTTCTTGCTGGGCTAGAGTGGTGGCCGTGGTGTAGCCTAGCTCACAGCAACCTCAATCTCCTGGGCTCAAGCAATCCTACTGCCTCAGCCTCCCGAGTCGTTGGGACTACAGGCACGCGCCACCATGCCCGGCTAATTTATATATATATATGTATTAGTTGGCCAATTAATTTCTTTCTATTTTTTTAGTAGAGATGGGGTCTCGCTCAGGCTGGTTTTGAACTCCTGACCTGAGCAATCCGCCCGCCTCGGCCTCCCAGAGTGCTAGGATTACAAGCATGAGCCACCGCGCCCGGCCTATTTTTTAACAGAACACAAACGCTGGCCTATCCACTTAATTTCCATTGGCAAGTGTTTTGTAAACTTTTTAAATTTTAAGAATGTACAAGAAGTATGGAACTTTTTTAAAATTTGGATTTACTCCAGAATTGAGATAATCAGGCAAGCAGGTGTAGACAAAGCCATAGGGACCCCATATACACTTCCAACAGCAAAAAGTAGTGAATAAATTCCAAAATGGATATAAGCAGCTGTGAATTTCTATAGGCATTCAGACAAAAAGGATCTTGAGTGGTTTTCAAACTTTAAAGGAAATAATTGTTCATTAACATTCTTTTCTTACAGATTAAAGAACTCCCTTTAGCATTTCTTGTAGGATAGGTCTGGTGTTGGTGAAATCCCTCAGCTTTTATTTATCTGGGAAAGTCTTTATTTCTCCTTCATGTTTGAAGCATATTTTTACAGGATATAATATTCTAGGATTAAGGTTTCTTTACTTCAGATATTTCCTTTGAATATATCATGCCACTCTCTCCTGGCCTGTAAGGTTTCCACTGAGAAGTCTGCTGCCAGACATATTGGAGCTCCTTTAGATGTTATTTTTTCTTTCTTCCCTTAGGACCTTTTCTTTTCTTTTTTTGTGAGACAGAGTCTCACTCTGTTGCCCAGGCTAGAGTGCCATGGCATCAGCCTAGCTCACAGCAACCTCAAACTCCTGGGCTCAAGCATCCTCCGCTCAGCCTCCCGAGTAGCTGGACTACAGGCATGCACCACCATGCCTGGCTAATTTTTCTATACATTTTTAGTTGGCCAATTTATTTCTTTCTATTTTTAGTAGAGATGGGGGTCTCGCTCTTGCTTAGGCTGGTTTTGAGCTTCTGACCTTGAGCGATCTGCCCACCTTGGCCTCCAAGAGTGCTAGGATTACAGGCGTGAGCTACCGCACCCGACCAGGGACCTTTTCTTTATATGTAACCTTTGGGAGCTTGATTATTAAATGCTCAAGGTAGTCTTGTTTGGGTTAAATCTATGACCTTCCTGTACCTGAATACTAATATCTTTCTCTAGATTTGAAAAGGTCTCTGATATTATTTCTTTGACTAAACTTTCTACCTCAGTCTCTCTTTCTACCTACTCTTTAAGGTCCATAACTCTTAGATTTGCCCTTTTGAGGCTATTCTCTAGATCTTGTAGGCATGCTTCATGCTTTTTAATTCTTTTTTCTCTTTTCTCTTCTGGCTGTGTATTTTCATATACCCTGTCTTCAAGCTCACTAACTCTTTCTTCTGCTTGGTCAATTCAGCTGTTGAGAGACTCTGATGCACTTTTCATTTTAAATTTTTCAGCTCCAGAATTTCTGCTTGATTTTCTGTTAATTCCTATCTCTTTGTTAAGTATCTCTGATAGGCTCCTGAATTTCTTCTCTGTGTTATCTTGAAGTCTGTTGAGCTTCCTCAGCACAGCTATTTTGAATTCTCTGTCTGAAAGGTCACAGATTTCATCACTCCAGGACTGGTCACTGGTACCTTACTTAGTTCATTTGGCGAGGTCATGTTTTCCTGGATGTTCTTCATGCTTGTAGATGTTCCTTGATATTGGGCATTGAATAGTTAGGTATTTATTCTAATCTTCAAAGTCTGGGCTTGTTTGTATCCATCCAAGGCGTTCCAGGGATTAAAAGGGAATTGAGTGTGGTGATCTAAGTCTTTAGTCACTGTAGCCATATTAGCACAAGGGGGTCAAGCCCAGAAACACTGCAACCCTTGTATACTCCCCGTGGTACTGCCTTGGTGGACTTGTGTAAGATATGAGACAATTCCTTGGATTGCCAGGCAAAGTCTCTCACTGTCTTCTCTCACCTTCTCCCAAAGAGGAGTCTCACTCTCCATGCTAGGCTGCCTGGAGTTGAGGAAAGGGTGACATGAGCACTCCCTTGTGGCCACCATAGGCAGGCCTTCACCAGGTCACCCCTGAAGCCAGCTCAGTGTCACCCAAGGCCTGTGTTGACTGCTACCTGGTAACCTCTGATGTTTATTCAAGGTCCAAGGGCTCTTTAGTCAGCAATTGGGAATCCTGCCAGGACTGGATCCTTCCTTGTAGGACAGAAGGTTTCCTTCTGGCCCAGAGTGGGTCTAGAAATGCCATCCAGGAACTAAGGCCTGGAATCAGGGTCTTCGGGAATCTGCTTGGTTCTTGATTTTACTGTGGCTGAGCTGGTGCCCAAATTGCAAGACAAAGTCCCCTTACTCTTGCCCTTTCCTTTCCCCAAGCAGTAGAAGACTAGAGTTGGTGGAGGGGTGGCACTTGGCCAACACTGCTGTTGTCTCATTTGGTCACGTGCACTCCAAGTCCACGGGTTCCCAGGCCACAGCAGCCACAGGACTTGCCCAAGGACTGCAGTTTTTGTGACCTGATTGCCTTACAAATTTATTCCAGGGCTCCAGCCATTTTTGGTGGAGAAACTAGCCAGAAATCAGAGTCTTGTCACTGGGGCGGAGCATTCCTCTCGGGCCAGGGTTGGTCTAATGCTCTCTCCATGGGTCCTAGCAGAATTCTGCCCTCTGTTTTATTCTGCTGTGACAGGGTGGTCCTTAATTCCAATGCACAGTCTCACTATCACTCTGCTCCCCCAAGCACACAGATTCTGCACACTTAGCGCTAGGGTGGCCCTGCTAGGGGCTGGGGGAGAGGTTGATACATAATGCAAGACTGTCTTTCCTACCCTCTTCAGTGCCTCCTTCCCTGATAGGATGTTTTTTGGTTTTGTTTTTTTTGTTTGTTTTTTTTGGGGGGTTTTGAGGCAGAGTCTCACTCTGTTGCGCAGGCTAGAGTGCGTGGCATACGTTAGTCACAGCACCTCCAAAACTCCTGGGTTCAAGCGATCCTTCTGCCTCAGCTTCCCGAGTAGCTGGGACTACAGGCATGCACGACCATGCCTGGATACTTATTTATATATATATATGTATTTTTTAGTTGGCCAATTAATTTCTTTCTATTTTTAGTAGAGATGGGATCTCGCTCTTGCTCAGGCTGGTCTCAAACTCCTGAGCTCAAGCGATCCTCCCACCTCAGCCTCCCAGAGTGCTAGGATTACAGGCGTGAGCCACCCCGCCCGGCCCTGATAGGATGTTGAAAACAGGCATGGTGATCACTCACCTGATTTTTGGTTCTTATGAAGGTGCTTCCGTGCCTGGGTAGTCGTTCAGTTTGCTCTTCCTGGCAGGGGAAGATCGCGGAGAGTTCTATTCAGCCATCTTGCTCCACCTCTTCCCCTGTTTCTCAGGAGCCTTTTTGAAGTAGGAAAGCTGGAGGTCCTGTGAGTGTAGGTGGAACAGGAACAGGAATTATGTGCTGTTGATGCAAATTAATTTGGATCCAAAGCCTCCATGGGCCCAGAACATTTAGGCTGCATAATCATCATGCACATTCAAACAGAGCTGCTATGTAAAGATACCACTGATACAGCTACCGTGTTTCCTGCAAGACAGGTCTTATTTATTTTCTCCTCAAGAAGACATCTAGGCTTATTTCAGGGGATGTGTTATTTTTTTAGGACGTACAACCACCTACATTGATTCAAATAGAGTGAAGTCGTCTTCTTCTGGAACATCATCCTCACTCTCCAAACCCCGAATCCCATCCTGAATGTCTTGGACTCTATTTCCTTTAGACCACTGGCCCGACTCTCCTGTGGAGCACTAGAGCTGTCACGGGGCGATGAGAAGGGCTGCTCGTGTTCTTTCCCGTCCGCGACGACAACGCATGGTTGTGCAGATGCGCTGCGCAGCCACGCCCCTCACTAGGCTGATTTTCATAGCCACACCATCACTAGGCTGATTTTCATAGCCACGCCTCACTAGGGCTGATTTCATAGCACGCCATCACTAGGGCTGATTTTTGGGGTAGGGCTTCTACTGCACAAATGCTTAGAAATCCTGCTAGGGCTGATTTTATGGGTAGGTCTTATTTTTGGGAACCAGTTGTTCCAAGCATAAAACACTGTATTCATGTAATTGTAATTGCAAACCGCCCAGTAAGTATTTTCCTTGGGTTCTTACAGATAGGGAATCAGGGCTCAGGAAGGTACTTAATTTGCCTGGAACACACAGTCAGAAAGTAAAACCAAAGCAATCACCATATGAACCAAAGTACACATGATACCAAATATCTATGCTTTTACCTTCTTTGTTACACTGATCTGAACTCCGCAAAATCTTTTGTACCGAACGAGACATCAAACATATCTAATTTTAAAGTCTTCATATATTTAGTGTAACATTTCAATAACCCACTTTACATTTGAGGGCCATGAATCCAAGGGGAAAAAAAATAAACAAAGTATACATATATTATCTGTCTAAATAAGCAGCAGTAATTTAGTGTCTTGACTGACCGAAAGAATCGATATGTTTAAAACATAACAGCTGGATTTTAAATGGAGTGATTTTCTGGCGTTATTTGGTCCATGTTACAAGGTGTTATGGTCTCCGCAGGGTAAAAATCGTAGAAATCTAAAAGCAGTTATAACTTCAAAGGTTGCTTGAACCAACTTCCCACCCAAGTCAGGAATGCCACTGTGGCATTGCTGATATGTGATCACTTGGTCTCTTTTTGAACACTCTGGTTGTGAAAACTTACTGTCTTATAAGTAACCCATTCCATTATTGGGCAGCTTTGCTCTTTAGGAAATCATCTTTGTTTTCCTGAATAACATTTGCTTCACAGACTGGTGACAATAAATGCATAAAGGTCTTAGAATTACCCCTGGCACGTGGCAAGAATGCAACATAGTCACATCTATGATCAGTTTAATGAATATAACCCTCACGGTAGCATAGAGTTTTCAGTTGCAATGAACCGTCCGTCATTTCCACCCATTTATTTTCCGCCCCAAGAGGTATCAACCTTGTCCATTCACAGGACTCCCAACTACATTAAAATGAAAGAAAAAAAATCATTTGTTATAAGATGTTAAATCTTCAAGTGAAGAAATAACTGCTCTCAATCTCTTCCCGGCATTCAAACAACTAAGGAAAATAACTAGCAGGCAGTCAATAAATAGGTAAGTTAGAGTATTTGTTATGTTTGTTAATGAAAGTGTACGCCTATTTTAAAAATCATTAAAGTCATTTTACCAAGAAACAACTACTTTTTAAGAAGAGAAATGCCTTGAAGCAGATTAACCTGTGGCAAAAAAAAAGAAGAAGAAGAAGAAGAGGAAGAGAAGAGAAGAGAAAGAAGAAGAGGAAGAGGAAGAGGAGGAAGAAGAAGGAGGAGGAAGAGGAAGAGGAGGAGGGGGAGGAGGAGGAGGAGGAGGAGAAATGCTTCACTGATTCCTTTCCACCATCAGAACGAAGGTGTGAGTATTCTGGTAATATTTACCCACATGCCAACTGCCTACTGCCATCCATGAACACTCTCTTTAGGAAACTTCATGTCTATGACCAGAAAAGGGAGAATGTGTGATTGTTTCACCCATGATAATACATAGAAAAATTATGTTAGTAAAAGATTAACTGAGAACAGACAATATGATTCCTGTTATTAGAGCAAACCAAGCCTGGGCTTTGCTGGAACCTAAAGAAAAAAAGAATCACTTCCCTTGTCCTGTAATTTCTGTTTGGCCTAAGTGTTCTACTTAGGAAATTTTTTTATTACACAATCACCTTTTTAATACATAATCACTCTAGAAAAAAGTGGAACATATAAATAGAAAAATAAAGACACTAAAAAATAAAGAATTTTTAAAACTTAAAAATTTTAATTATAGATCAATACTTTCCCCATTGCTTTTCTTTTTGAGACAGAGTCTCACTCTGTTGCCCAGGCTAGAGTGAGTGCCGTGGCATCAGCCTAGCTCACAGCAACCTCAAACTTCTGGGCTCAAGTAATCCTTCTGCCTTAGCCTCCTCCTGAGTAGCTGGGACTACAGGCATGCGTCACCATGCCTGGCTAATTTTTCTATGTATTTTTAGTAGGCCAGTTAATTTTGTTCTATTTTTAGTAGAGATGGAATCTCGCTCTTGCTCAGGCTGGTTTTGAACTCCTGACCTTGAGTGATCCTCCCACCTCAGCCTCCCAGAATGCTAGGATTACAGGCGTGAGCCACCATGCCTGGCCCATTAATTTTTCTATGTGAGAAAATTATTTATTTATTTATTTTGAAACTAATCACCTTAGTGGCTTTTAGGAAAATGATTTCTAATAGTTTTGTATTGTTTTCAGCAATAAAATCACATTACTTATACAAAATTACTATTTTATTTCCTCTTTTGTTCCTTGCATTCTTACTTCCCTCTACCAAAATTATTTATCAACACCTACTAACAGCAGGAAATGTGCTCAGTGCTATGAATACAGAGATTAACAAAATATATGATACATGCCTTCAAGAAATTCATACCATTCATACCAAGAAATTCATACCATTATGAATAAGACAAAAGGATAGGTAACAATAGCTAAGTAAAACTTCTGAAGGAGGTTCTTAGTCAGGGTCTGAATCCAAAACAAAGGCATGCTCAAAATGGGATGATTCTGGAAGAGGTTATCTCCGAAGGAGCTACCGTGTTTCCCCGAAAATAAGACAGGGTCTTATATTTATTTTTCCTCCAGAAGACACCCTAAGGCTTATTTTCAGGGGATGTGTTATTTTTTTAAAATATGGTACCACAATCTACATTTATTCAAATATAGTTAGGTCATCTTCTTTGGGAACATCATCATAACTCTCCAAACCCCGAATGCCATCCTGAATGTCCTGTGACTCTGTTTCCTTTAGAACCACTGGCCCCGATCTCTCCTGTGGAGCACTAGAGCTGTCACGGGGCAGATGAGAAGGGCTGCTCAAGTGTTCTTTCCCACTCTGCGACGACATGCATGGGTTGAGCAGATGCGCTGCATAGCGACGCCCATCACTAGGGCTTATTTTCGGGGTAGGGCTTCTATTGTGCAAATGCTTAGAAAATCCCTGCTTAGCGCTTATTTATTATGGGTAGGGTCTTATTTTGGGGAAACAATGTAATTTACAAATGTATAGTATGACCAGGCAACTCACAGAGGAGGGCGCCGTCACTTGGATTCTGTTGCTTTCATGAGTAGCTACACTTTGCTACCACTCTACCTTGGTTTCCTCCAATTGGCAAGGGAAAGAGCGGAGCTGTCATGGCACTGGATGGAGGAGCAGTTACACAAAAGGATATCTATATGGAACAGTGACTTGACATTGAAGAACATGAAGCACACAGCCAGCACAAGGTGAGCACACAGAAAGATCACCAGCTGAGGCATCAATACCCGCTTTTACTCACTTAACACACCACACACGCACACACACACACCCACAACACCCACACTGATGTCTGCTGGATTGCAATGGAAGGCACCAGAAGGCAAGTGGACACACCCATGAAGGGCAGCCCCCTCCCCAGACAGCACAGCAAAGAAGGGATAGAAGGGGATCCAGGAGTCCAGGAAACAGCGGTGCTCATGCTGGTATCTCACACACTCTGGGCAGGCTAACTGGGCAGCATCGCTCAGGTCAGCGAGTTCGAAAACACTCCAGGGGGGGTGAGACGAGCGAGACACGTCTCTAACTAACAATCCAGAAAGAAATAACTCTGGCCAACTAATATACTGCAGAAAAAATTAGCCGGGCATCGGTGCACAGCCTGTAAGTCAGCTACTTGGGACAGGCTGAGGCAGAGGATCATGTGAGCCAGGGAGCTTTGAGTTGCTTGTGCTAGGCTGATGCCACAAGCACTCCCACCTCTAGACGTGGGCATACAGAGTATTGAAGCTCTGTATCACAAAAATTTAATTATTAAAATTTTAAAAATAAAAAGAAGGGGATCCAGGGAGCCAAAGGCACCCGGACGTGGGACAGGGGAGGGGAGCTGTGCAAGCTAAGAAGAGGTGCCCAAACCCTTTACCTTGCAGGAATCCGAGCCAATCCCCCTGAAAGAAAGGCTCAGAGCGATCTTAAAAAGGACAAACCTCTGTCCAGCTGCTAGGATGTGCAACAGGATTCTACGGTACGAAGCAGGTTAAGAGAAACATACGTGTTGAGAGCGCAAAGGTGCCTGCGGTACACACAGCTTTGCATGGTGGAGAGATGTTGTACGGGGTCATATTTTGGGAAAGAAAGTCAAGGTGGTAGGAGACAGGTTAAATCACTGATATACTGAATGCTCTGTTGGCCAAAAAAAAAAAAAAAAAAAAAAAGGGGTAGGGGAGAGACATTGCAGGATTCTAAGTGGGATCCTCCCAGTTTTCCAACACAGTGGGAACTCAAGGAGAGTCACACAGGTGTGCG